AGTAGTATGTATTTGAGAGTTCTAGCTCATTCCTGATTTTTTTGACCATTTTATTTTGATTTTGTGATATTTTAGGTTTAATTAAGTATGAGGTGCTTTTTCACACCTCGTTTGTCATTATCAGAGTCATAATAACTTCATAGACCTTTGCAGATACCTCATCAAACTTATTATACTATATTTATCACAAACAAGACATCACCCAACCTAAAGGCTACCTTGATTAAAAAAAACATATCTTCAAAAAAGTCTTACTGTAATCTATTATATTCATAACATGGTTTATGTTATGAATGTTGAATATTCTCACAAAAGTGGTTTAAAGATTTGATATTCTTTAATAAAATGGACAAACTCAACGTGAAAGAATTGAAGAATATCGCAAGAGAGAGAGGTATCAGGGGGTATTCTCGATTACGTAAAGCGGAGTTGATTGAGGCATTGGGTCAAGAGGATTTGATAAATTTAAATATTGAAGCTGAACCTTTGAATGAACCTTCGAAACCCTTTACTTCAAATAACATATTGGATGAACCTATACCTAAGATTGATATCCCTGTATTGGTACCATCAAAACCTCAAAATATCACTAAAGTATCACAACTAAAGAATATTACCGCAAAAGCTTCAAAGCAAGTAAACAGTGAGATAAACAAGTTTGCAGACTGGATAATATCTCATGTACCAGAACCTTTTATTAAAAAGAATGTTGACAAAAGAGTCAACGATTTGAAAGATGAAGTGAGCCGTATATTTGAAGAAATTAATGGAAAGTTTGGACCTAAAGAGAGAAAGACAGCTTTAAGGGGTTATTTCAAAACTTATAGAGTTGAAGGAGTGGATGGTATGGATGAAAAAACATTCATTAACAGTGTTAGGCAGAGTGTTATGAATCTTGTAAAGAGTTTGAAGCCTATCAAAGTGAAGTTAGTTCTCGCCGTAAATTTTTACAAAGAGAATCCTGATACAGGTAACACTGACTTTACTTCATCATACTTTCATTCAAAGTTATTTGTAATAACGGAGGCGACAGATCTCTCTGTCATATATAATATGATGACGAGTGAAATCTTTGAATCTCTTGAGGAATTTAAAAGATTGAAATCTGGTTGGATATTCAACTCAGTCGAAGACCTTTACATCAACATTAACCCATACAATCCTTTGTCAGCTTCTTCATATATTCCCTTACCTTGTACGCTGCCTGGAAAGAAGGCAATCATTAACGTTAAGAATATGGATGATAATGAATGTTTCAAGTGGGCAGTAACTTCTGCAGTGTTTCCTAGAGAAAAAAATGCTGGGAGATTGAATAAACGGATGAGAGAAGATTCAGAAAAGTTTGACTGGGCAGGTATTGAGTTTCCTGCATCATATAAAAAAGATATAGACAAGTTTGAGAAACAGAACGATTATGCAATCAACGTCATTGGTTATGAAGAGGGATTTTTTTACCCTTTGAGAGTTAGCAAGCGAAGTAATAAAATGGTGATTAACCTTTTATTTATCTCAAACAAGGAGACAAATCACTACTGCTGGATAAAAAACATGTCTAGATTGATGACATCCAAGGTGAGTAACCACAATGGAACAAGACATTTCTGCTACAGATGTTTGAACTCATTTCACTCAGAGAAATCACTGAAAGAGCATAAAGAGTACTGTGATAATAACGAGGGTGTTAAGCCGGAGATGCCAATGGTTAAAGATGACAAAGGGGAATTCTTAGAACCAAAATTTATCACATTTAATAATTTTCACAAAAAACAGAGAGTACCTTTTGTTGTGTACGCAGATTTTGAATGTTTCACAGAGAAGATTGACACTTGCCAACCCATTGATAACAAAAGCTTCACAAATCAATACCAAAAACATGTTCCCTCAGGTTTCCGCTATCTAATCAAGTGCTTTGATAATAACATTTTCTCTCCAAAATTTGTAAAGTACACAAAAAAAGCGGCCGATGAAGACATTCCTCAGTTGTTCATAGAGTCTTTAGAGAAAGATATCAAAGATATCTACAAAAGGTTTAAATTCCCGAAGAAGATGGTGATGACAAAAAAGGATAAGATAGACTTTGTAGAGGCAACTAGATGTCACATCTGTGAGGAAGAAATATTAGAAGATGCTGATGATAAAAACTATAAAAAGGTTCGCGATCATTGCCATCTCACCGGAAAGTACCGAGGTGCGGCTCATAATAAATGCAACTTAAATTATAGACTACCAAAGTTCTTCCCTATCATCTTTCACAATCTGAGTGGGTATGACTCTCATCTTTTTATAAAGAACCTTGGAGTTACTGAGGGAAAGATAGACTGCATACCCAACAATGAAGAGAAGTACATCTCATTCACTAAAGAGGTAATTGTTGATAAATTCATTAATCAAAAGGGAGAAGAGAAAGAGGTCAAGCGAGACTTAAGATTCATTGATTCTTTTAAATTCATGGCGACTAGCCTTGACAAATTAGTAAAGAATCTACCGAAAGAATCTTTTAAAAATCTTTCAGAATTCTATAAAGGTGAACAATTTGATCTTCTCATGAGAAAAGGTGTCTTTCCATATGATTGGTTCGACTCTTTTGACAAACTCTCTCAGGATCACCTTCCCCCTATAGAGTCATTCTACTCAACACTTAATGGGAGTGGAATCTCAAAAGAAGATTACCAGCATGCACAGAAAGTGTGGAAAACATTCAATATGAAGACAATGAGAGATTACCATGATCTATATCTTGAGACCGATGTTCTCCTTCTCACCGATGTCTTTGAAAACTTCAGAGATGTTTGCCTTGAAAACTATGGCCTGGACCCAGCGTTCTATTACACAGCACCCGGACTTGCTTGGGATGCATGTTTGAAAATAACAAAGGTCAGACTAGAGTTATTAAGCGACTATGACATGTTAATGATGGTAGAGAAAGGAATTCGAGGTGGTGTCTCCATGATCTCTACGAGATACGGTAAAGCAAACAACCCTTACATGGAAGATTACGATTCTGAACAACCAACTAAGTTCATCACTTATCTCGACGCGAACAATCTTTACGGTCGGGCAATGTCTAAACCTCTACCGACTGACTCTTTCAGATTCATGACTAAAGAGGAGTTGAAGAATTGGTGGACGCTACCATGCATACTCGTGCTCGACAAAGAGTATCCGAAGGAACTTCACGACCTGCATAACGACTATCCATTGGCACCTGAGAGAGTAACCGTTAATAATGTTGAGAAACTGATCCCTAATCTCAACGATAAAACAAAGTATGTTATTCATCATGAAACTCTTAAACAATATCTATCTCTAGGATTAAAGATCACCAAGATTCACAGAGGGATCACATTCAAAGAGTCGGCGTGGCTGAAGCCTTATATTGATCTTAACACCAATCTCAGGGCTAAGGCAACTAATGATTTTGAAAAAGATTTTTTCAAGTTGATGAATAACTCCGTATTCGGTAAGACTATGGAGAACATTAGAAACAGAGTTGACGTAAGATTAGTCACTACAGAATCTCAAGCAAAGAAGCTGATATGTAAACCAAACTACCAACATCACACAATCTTCTCTGAGAATCTTGTCGCTGTTCATATGAAGAAGACAAGGATATACTTAAACAAACCTGTCTACCTCGGTATGTCTATACTCGATTTGAGTAAGACTTTGATGTATGATTTTCACTATAATTACATAAAACCAAAGTATGGAGAGAATGCAAAATTACTCTTCACAGACACGGACAGCCTCGCTTATGAGATAGTGACAGATGATTTTTACAGGGATATAAGTGGTGATGTGAAAGAGAAGTTTGATACCAGTAATTACCCGAAGAATCACCCTAGTGGAATAGAAACAGGCGTTAACAAGAAGGTTATCGGAATGTTTAAAGACGAAGCTGGTGGAAAACAGATCGTTGAGTTTGTAGGTTTGAGAGCAAAACTCTACTCCTACAGATTAGATGAAGAGGATGAAGTGAAAAAGTGTAAAGGAGTGAAGGAGTGTGTTGTAAAGAAGACTATAAGTTTTGATGATTATAAGAACTGTCTGTTCAATAACAAACCTTCAATGAGAAAGATGAATGTGATCAGAAGTCGTTTACACAATATCTACACAGAGACAGTTAATAAAGTTGCTTTATCACCATTCGATGATAAAAGAATAATCCGAGAAGATGGTATTCACACTTTCGCTCACGGACATTATAAAACGCTTTTAGGAGGTAGCTCAGTATCTTCTGGTACAAACTGAAGCTCTTCTCTTACAAACGATCTCTTCGGTCCATCTTCAAGATGATATAACACAGGTTGATTAGGAGAGATGACACTTCGAGAGAGATTATAAACCTCAATGCTCCAGAAAGGATCGGTCGCTCTTCTTTTATCTCCTCCCTCTTCTTCACCAGGAGATAAAAGATACCGGACTTGCACCCCAGGAGGTAATCTCTTCTCTTTCAAACCAACAGGTCTTTTGTAATCAATAGGTTTTATGTCAACTTCTTTCAAAGAGATGGCTTTATCAGGTTCTTTACCTGTTATTCTAATAACACCAGAATTCAAAGCTTTCATAACCGCTGGCAACCTCTTTACCCAAACTCTTGATCTAGCATCACTCACCATCTCTTGTGCGTATTGATGTGAAAATAATCTCTCACCCAAAGTTCTATTAGCTCTCTCAACGAAAGCCTGCGCTCGATGATTTCCCGCTTCACTTCGTTGAATCTTTACATTATGTCTCTCCAAAAGCTGAGTCACAGAACCCATGAACTCTTTTCCAGGATCGATAATCAATGTCTTTGGAAACTTCAGCTTTCGAGAGTAGATCTTCTCTAATGCTTTTGCTACCTCTTGACTCTCTTTCGATGTCAAAGCCTCTGCATCTTTATATCTCGTTGCAACATCGATGACAACTAATGCATAACGATACGTCTTTCTTCCCACCTTGTCATGTGGAAGAAACAACAAATCAGCTTGATGAATTTCATTCGGTTTATCTACAACCCAATGTGGTCTTGGTATATACTTTGGTGGAGGTAAATATATCTGCCAAAGAGCTTGCTTTTCTAACCAATTTTTTGCTTCAGCTTCACTAACATTGGCTGCGTTTGCAAGTTTTGATATCGCTGAAAATCCTTTCCAATATCCTCCAGCGCTGTAATATATTTTTGTTAAATTTCTCATTTAAAAATAATCTTGTTTATTTTAAAATGTCATATTCTATATCCGAAAAGATAAATCCCAACAGAGTTCCACGTGAACCCTTTGGTTTGAAAGCAGAAGCCTCTTTGAATAGGGTAACACTGAATCCATCATCTGCAAGTCCTGGTGAAACTCTCTACGTTAATATTCCGAAACTATCGGAGAATGTAGTAATTTTACCAGGGAGTGTCTATCTAATATTCAAACTTGACATTGATGGACATCCGAACAATTACTTTGTGAATAATCTCAGTAGAAATCTTGTTAATAGACTCAAGGTCAGTTTTGGTGGAGAGACACTACAAGATACTCGTAGATATGATCTCTTTCAAACATACCAAGACCTATTTCTTCCCGCTGAAGATCGTGTGGATGGATTAAGACGAGGTATCTCTGATGTGAATATGAGAAAACTTCGAGCAAATGCAAAAGATAAGAACACAAGTGATTCTGTAGAAGTAGCTCTCGCTGCTATCCACGAGAAAAATTATTGCATTCAACTTGATCATCCCATTCTAAATGATCATGGAGCTTTATACCCAAGAGCGTTAACTCATGATCTAAAGTTTGAGATCACTCTTCCAGATATCTCTGATGTTGTAATTCATCCAGATATCAATGGAAGTTATACAAAAGAGGAAGAGAAAAAGAAACCGACTTATAAAATTACAAACCTTGAGTTGGAGTATCAATGTATTAGAAGTGAGTACTTGGCAAGACAAGCGGCAGAAAGTTATCAAGTGGGAAAAGTATTCTTTTACGAAAATGTAATGCATATAAAAGAGTTTAACATATCAAAACCTAATGATGAGTTGATCAACCTTCATATCAATATCCCGAGGAGATCAATGACTGGAATACTGTTACTATTCACACCCAAGCACAAGCTTGGTGAACGAAAGTCAGAGAAGTTTATCAACCCAGACATTACATCAGTCAACATCAACATCGATGGAATGCCAAATAGGTTATACTCAAAGGGTATGATTGAATCTGATTTCTGGGAAGCAGCAAAGAGACGTTTTGGTAAACCTACTGATGCGTTAAAAGAGAAGAATTTCTATGAGAATAAGTTCTGCCTTTGGATAGACTTGAGAACTTTTCACGATAACACTATCCATGGGAGTGGTTTTCACTTGAATAACACCCGAGATGGAGTAAAATTAGAGATTAAAAGAAAGACTGGTGGAAGTGGTGACATTGTCTGCAATATGTTTGCAGTAGCTGATGCTGTGATGCAGATCATGAATTCCAACTTAAATGAAATAAAGTACTAATGCGAGAGTCATGCCCCTCATGCTCACTTTGATGTAAAAAGAAGAGAGCCTCTTTCAATAAAATATCTTATAAACAGTCTTATAAGATATTAATAAAGAATGGATAACTTACGAGATAAAGTTCCTTTCAACTGTATTATTACCGGTCCCACAAACTGTGGAAAGACAAAGTATCTAATAGAGCAGCTACGTGGTCCTTTCAAAAAGGTTTTTGAATACATTGTATTAATCTGCCCCACCTATGCACATAATAAGACTTATCACGGATTCGCTCGTGGTGATAAAAGATTCTTTGTCTCATCACCCGATGCAAGTAACACCGATGAGATCAATGAATTATTGAAAGATGTATCAGAACTATTCTCTGATACTAATACCTTAGTCATTCTTGACGATTGTGCAGTCTCCAAAGATTTGAAGCAGCGCTCTAATAAATTCATTGACCTCGCTTTCTCTGGCCGTCATGAGGGTCTGAGCATTTGGGTATTGACACAGCAGTTAACATCCATTGCTAAACCTTTCAGAGAGAACGTTGCTTGCGTAGTAGCTTTTCACAATCCGTCTCAGGCCTGTACAAAAACACTGTTTGAAGATTATGGTGGAGATTTAGATGTTGAAACTCGAAAAGAATTTGTTAAACTATTGAAAACGAAGAAGTACTCGAGACTATGTCTATGCCTTAGATTTCCTTTTGATTATTATCTTGAGATTCCAACTTAAAAAAAATATATTGTGTGTAATAAAGATGGCAAACGTTGAAGATTATATTAAAGAAGATAACTCAAAAGAGGTCCTGAAAGAGAAAGAAGCAGATGATGAAGTTGAAGAGAAGAGAGAATCACTATCAATATTAGCAGCGATGGGTACTTCCAAAGATTTTACAGGTGTTGAGATGAGTATTGGTGATGTTAAAAAGCTCTCTTCAAAAGCTGTAGAGAAATATTTCAATAGATACAAGGTGGTATTGGGTAAGCAGGTAACGGGTGGTTTAGTAGACTCAGCAATCTCAGCAGCATCTAATATCATTTCTTATTTTATTCCTATAGATGATGTAGAGGAGCTTATCATAGACTTGAAGAATGATGATTTAGTTAAACGTGAACTATCAAACTTTGCAGGTCTCTTGACAGTGAAAGGTGGAAGATTTGTAGCACTTGCTAGTGGTCTCTTCAAGGTTGCTAAGCATATTAAATTAACATCTTCAGTGGAGAAAGGTGACACCATACACGAGATTACAACAACAGACTTAGATCATACTCAAGACTCTTGATAAACTCTTGATAACACTCTTGATAAGACTCTATAAGACTCTTGAAAATCTGTTGAAAATCTCTTAAGCAACTCTTGATAAGACTCTTATCAAGAGTCTATAACACTCTTGAGAAACTCTTGATAAGACTCTATAGGACTCTTAAGCAACTCTTAATAAGTGACATATTAAGAGTTTGAGATTCTGGCTAGCATTTAATGTGAAGTCTCATACTGATGTTTTCTCCACCCAAATTCAAAAGCTTTCCATCTTGATCTGTAATCCTCACATTGATGTAGGATATATACTTTTTATCTATCTTTACATATATGATATTTTTAGGAGTCTCTATCATCTCGAACTTTGAAGAAACATTCGGTGAGAAAGAGTAGATCACGGGTTGTATGGCACCATTAACAAAACTCCCTTCAACAACATCTACGTGAATCATGATGGATTTGACGTTCAAAATTTTCACTGGTTCTAAGGAAAAGCTATTCACCGTGTATATCTTGGGTCCAAACCCTAATAAATCTCTGAAAGTATTGGGTCTCCTGAAATCTATTGTGTAACCATCTTTTAGGGTCATTATGACTTTACACCTGTTTTTATCATGGTGAAACTTGATATGAGGCTTGTCATTGACAGAGTCGTAATGATTATTCGCTTTCATCTTTTTAAATATGGCAGAACTGAGAGAATCGATATTGTAAGCTCCTGTATCAACGTTGACAACAAAGTAAGTAGAACCTTTGTCTGGACTGTAAAAAAGTTTATTGTTTTTACCATATTCAATATTTGGAAAGCCATAGAGAGTCTCCAAGCTGACCAATCCGATAGCGTACTCTACATCATCGTCCAGCACTAAAGGTTTGTCAAAGTTTACGGTAAAGTTGGATTCATTGCTGGATAATATTAATTGCATTCCATGTTTCGGTATGACACCATTCATTGTATTTATTTTTTTATAATCACTTTTTAGATTATTTTTTTAAAATCTATATAAGATATCAAGAGTCTTATAGAGTCTTATCAAGAGATTTATAAAGAGTTCATAACAAAAAATTATTCAATTTAAAGATTCTTGCAAGACATAAAAAAACATGTCTGAAGAAGAATCTACCGTTGCTGTTGAACAGATCACAAGAGAACCTCTCTCTGAAAAGAAACCAGTGAAGGCGAAAGACCCTAAAAAAGTCGCTGCAGGGAAAAGACTTGCCGAGCATAATAAAAGAGCAAATGAAGCACTCAAAGAGAAGATGGCTCGTGATGGTGAGAAAGCTGCCACTGAGACTGAATCGCTAGAAGAGAAAGAATCTACTTCAGGTGAATCAAAATCTTGGATTCCACAACAAATGTCTTTCACAACTGTTTTATCTGTTGTTGGGTTAGGGTTAACTGCA